AAAACCATAAATCATTTATATGTGGTACTATAATAGTAACAATAAATGTATTTGATCACGAAAAAATAAAATATTACTATAGTAAAAGAATATGAGCACTCACATTGATGATAGACGATTTGCTTGCTCTTAACTTCTATTAATTTATCACCTATAAAATATACAAATATCAATTTATTTGATTGTGTTTTAATTTAATTATAAATTATTGTTGTTTCGCACTATTTTAATTAGAATTTTAACACTTTAAACTTAAAAATTTAAGTATTGCAATTAAAATTATTATTAAATACTTTTTTAATTAATACCCTCGCCTTTCTTTAGTGCCCGAATGAAATTCATTTAAGTTTAATGTTTAAATAATACACGTACGATATATATATAATGAATGGGCCTAAATACCCAACCCACACGGTACAACACACACCAAAAAATGTAAAAAAATTGGTACATATAGAAATAAAAAAACCCAAAAACCACCCGGGCGCTGAAAAAGTGTGGGTCACCCCAATGTATTTTTGCCTCTGGCTCTAATTCTCAGTAGGGATTCAGCTAGCAGATTGGGTAAGGTGCTGACCATTACCCATAGTAACCAAAGTATCATCCATAAGACTCTTGAGCTCTAGTAGATCTCCATTTTTCTTCTTCCTCCTGTAAATGCAAACATGTCATTCCTCCTTCAAAGAATCAGCCTGTTGGGGTAGGGTTGAAGCGGAAGGAATACCAACAGTAGTACCCACAATAGGTTGTAAAATATGTGAAGTATGAGTTGTCTCTACACCGGATACTTCTTGAAGAAGTGGAGTTACGAGGCTTTCCTGATTATCAATCTGAACACTATTATTTGCAGTATTGTTTACTATGGAGTTTGTAGGTGTCAGCAACGCATCACTCGCAATAACAGTAACAGCAGTGTCATGAGGGGTCCTCAGGGGCAACAGACACCTCCTGTCTGGTAGTATCCTCCTCAGGTGGAACTAAAATGTCCACAGCAGTGGGCTTAGACTCATCCTTATTCACTTGAACCTTAGATTTCAAATTGGGATGAAGCTTGTGACATTTAGCAAGGATATGACCAAACATCTTACAGTGGGTATAATATGGGGGTTTAAGTTCCATGACGATTTGTTGTCAATAACCATTATGGGTTGTGCACAGTCAGACTTCAGTAACATCAGGTAAAATAATATCCCTTTCCACAAGTATTCTGGCCACCGAGGATCTGGTTAAGTTGAAAGTAGGCAGATATAGTTTTAAATGATCCCCAAGCATATGATGCCTTGCATATAAATGATAATATTTTACCTGGGTTTCATATTACCTTTTTCCCTTTCTTTATTTCATTGAAGAAAGGTGGAATTTTTGCGCCTAAGGGTTTGATTAGGTTGAAAGTAGGCAGATTTAATTTCAAAGGATCCTCAAGAATGGCCCCAATAAAGTAAAGAACCTGATGGTGAAAAAAATGCAGCTTAAGACCAGGTAAACTAAACCATACCGGTACAGTGGGAGTTTCATGATTTGGGTCAAAATTAGGAGACCACTTGAGTAACTTCCTTGATTTGCTAGGAGACCACTTGAGTAACTTCATTGATTTGCCTTCGATATTAAGATATTTCTTGAAGAAAATTCTGGTGTAGTCTTCAGCCACTGTTAGTTGGATCAACACATGTCTCTCATCCATAAGTCTCACTTTCCACTTGTCTACTAGCTTAAGATCATCACCACTTTCTGATAACATCCATAGAATGGTGTTCCCACTGAAATTTTCCAATAAGAGCAAACTTGAATTTTTTTGTCAAGGTAGAAATTTCTTATTCAGAGAAAAAGATTGCTTCTTTTCCACATTTTCTATTTCCCTTCTTAATAAAAAAACATTCATCTGTACTCTCACAAGAATCCTTATAACTTGAGGGGAATACCACTGCGGACTCCACCTGAGGGTTACCCACCACATGGGCAAATGAGACTTTGTCCGGCTCAACCAAAGAAGAAGGAAACGCCATCAGAGGTTGTCGCTGTTAAACTACTGCGAGATTGCTGAAAGGCAGAGAAGTTGTCGGGCGCAGAAGCATGAGCAACGCCGAAACAGAAGAAAAACAAACAGTCGGGCGCAGACAACGAAGCTTCGAGCGACAGAGGCGTGGAGCGATATCGAGTAGGAGTAGTGTAGCCATATTGAGGAAGACGACGACGCGAGCAGTTGAGTGTTCGTGACGCGAGCCGCGACAGGGAATTGCAAATGTCGACGCCGACGTAGACACAGACGCCAGACGACGGAGCGAGAGTCGACGATGCGAGGTCCTTTCCGTCCAGCGGTAGAATCAATTGCGACCAAAATCGCCATTGGAAGCCCTAGCAGAGTTCTCGACCGTAGCCGACATTGTGAAGAAGAGGAGTTGTGTCCTTCACTGAGCAGGATGTTGTGGAGAAAGAGAAAATCGAAGGTAGTCAAAGAAAAGGGTGAGGAATATCATCTTCGACCAAATGAGAGCGAAATGTTTGTAGTTCAACGGTCCTACAAACTAAGGCTGCATTGAATCAATAGTGGCTTCACCACAATATATTTTACACTCGTTGAACTGTGAAATGAAAGATATGTGGTCTCATCATCGATGAAGAGAGCAGCAAAAATGTGACATCTATACAGATGGTGAACAAATTGAGCCTCACAACTCAGATGCATTCCCAGCCATCTTCTACGACGTGATTGAAGAAAAAGAACAGGATCAGCATTGGCAAGAGGTATCTCGTAAAATTTTCAATTGGAAGCCAGCTGTAAGATCAAGAGTGGTGCGTGAGGTCGTGCTCATAAATGTTTGCCACGTTTTGTTGGCAAGATCGTGATAGTTTAACTACATAAAATTTTCAATTGGGAGCCAGCTGTAAGATCAAGAGTGGTGTGTGAGGTCGTGCTCATAAATGTTTGTCACGTTTTGTTGGCAAGATCGTGATAGTTTAACTACAAGCTCAGCATAATGGGCTCAAGAACACCCAATCCTTCAACAAGGATGACAAACGCATAATCTTTATATTGTTTGTGAAGTTCAAAATTACATATGCTTTTGTCAATAGAGAAGTGCTTGTACGGTCAGTATTGGTGATGACAGAGGAGAGTGGGACAAGATATTCGGTTTCAAACACAAGTCAGTTAGTATAGAGAGTTTTGGGATGTCCTGTTTGATAGCTTACCACCATGAACATCACCATTCAGGGATATGCAGATTGTCCTCACCTTAAATCAGGTTGAACCAACCTAAGGTTGCTTTTGGAGAATTCAACAGAATACACATGGCACGGAATCCCTGTTCAACTCGACAGGGTACTGTCAGATGGTTGGACCGATATGGATCGCTACTCACAAATGGAGAAAGCTCATCAAGTGTTTTGGGAGACAATGCAGTTGTCAATGGATCCAGGAGCTTCTAGGACCGCAGTCAAAGAGCTTTTTGCCCCGAGACGTTACGACAGCTCCATCACCAGCAAAGGGTAGATAGAAGCTTTGACAAGTGAGGTCGAAGATCCTCCAACCCCAAGAGACTGATGCAAGTGTGTCCTTGAAGCCACAAAAGCGACGCGAAGGGATTCATAGCTATCTCTAGCGATTTCCTTCATCTTGACCAAACCGGTCCAAACCCGTGAGGACCGATTAGCTATTCCACAAGGGATTGGAGCTTCTATTCCATAGGGGATCCAATCCTAGTTTTCTAGGAATTATATATGTGATTCATGTGTTTTAGGTTCAGCATTTTTTGTGTGTATTAAATTGGGACAGCTATTGACGTCTCTTCAACTCTTTGAGAGTTGTATCCTAGGATTCCAGGTAGTGGTATTATTGTATATTGGTCTACAGGCGGTTTGTATCTTCCCAATTCCCTTTCACATCCTACCCACGTCGCTCCCAGCCGCCCTTCATTGTTGCAGCTGCTCGAGACAGCATTCTGGTTGTTGTTTTCTACAGTTCCACTCATCTTCATTGTCTTCCCCTTCCCCCGCTTTGTTGGCCCAGCAGTTCCAGCCCACCAACATTGGTGTCCACGTTGTCCGACCACTTGTACCACTATAGCCACCTAGAAACTCCTTCGCCTTTGTCATTTTCCTACAGCCTCCAGCCTTCCAACCGTCTCCTCCTTCCCTTCCTCCATTGTTGCCGCCCAAACCACACCTTTCTAACCTTGTTCTTACTATTCCAGCCCTCCCATTGCTGCTGTCGCCGAGGGCAGCCATGCAACACCGCCTTCCTATTGTTCCACCGCTACGCACCCCAACTCCTCGTTGTCATCATACATGACAGCAACCATACTTGTTGCCCCTGCATTTTTGCGCCTCCCCCTCACTGCTACCAGCATTCCTTTGTTGTCGCTACACCCGCTAGCCATTCTCATCCACCAAGCTGACCTCAACCAACCTTGGGATACACTTTAGTGGTGTTTCCAAGTGTTTGTTGTTGTATTTCCCTTTCAAGTGTGTTTGGTTGCAAAAACATATTTGCTTTCAGTAACAACATTTGTTTTTGTAGTGTCGTTTTGAGTTAACTCCGGTATCACTAATAGTCGTAAAAACATATAAAAGACTCCAAGGAAAATAGATAAGTGCAGAATAAACATGAAAGTATTATTATGTATTAAATCATCACACGTTTCATGTTGAGCAAGTTGATAGTGAACAGATACCAATCCTTAAAGCCCAATATATATTTATTGAACATTGAATTAATTCAGCATAAGAAGCATCCTCCCTGAATCCTAACATGCAGCCGCATGATGCATAATGAGTTATATATAATCAGCTCTTGTCATTAATCAAGCCAAGCTATACCACTGACTCTGATCATGCTTCGATAAATACTAAAGGACATATACATTTCCAAAAAAGGCCAAGCTTTAACTGCTTTTCTTTTGTTTTTTTTCAGTTAGTTTAAAAAATGTCCAGCAGAACATCATGAAACACAAGCAGTATTTTACAGCGAATAGTGAGTTCAAAATCTTTAATTCAGAACGTACATGTCAGGTACCAATGGTGTTGTCTTGACTTTAGGCTCTACCACATGTCCTATGGCGAATATACCACCTCCATTTTTAGTGTCTAAACAATGTGAAAATATCTTTCTTACTTTTCCAGCAGAAGCAAGTTGCGATATCATGGATGAGTTTGACTGTCCAAATCCAAGTATTCCATCAACTGCTTCCGCTGATGATCCAAGGTCGCCAGACTGCTGGTTACCACATCTACAAAGGGAGCAAACCATGGCTGAGAAACAAAAAAAAAACCAAAAATAAAGGAAGCAATAGTAAATACATGCTTTTACCGCAAAGAAATTATGATATTATATCAAAAAGATTAAATTGTTGAAAGTATAAAACAAAATACACAAACATTTGAGTTGTTTTTTTATCATAATAAACGCAGAATGGAAACTATATAAGAGCATTGCAGCTTTATTCATACGTCAAGGCTCTTGTAAATCTCATCAAATGTGATCTTCCTACAAAAGTTATGATGCTTAGATATCATTTCATTTTTGGATAAGTACATTTTACTAAATTCGCTTATAGGAAACAATTGTGAATTTTCCAATATGTGAATTCTTTTACAAATAGATTCAAAATATTAGATGAGGGCCTTATATTAAACAAGAAAATGCATTTTTACACAACATATTGCACCACCGATACATGCATTTAAGATTAAATAATAGGCAGTAAAATAGTAAGGCCACAGTGCGGGTAGAGCACTTCGTAAGATTATTTTTTTATGGTATGCTTAGGCAAAAGATTAGAAGATGGTCCTGGAACAGTATGTTGCCCTTATTATAAACTATATATCACAAAATCGAGCCACGGCAAAAATCTCTCTACATAGCAGGATTAAGATTGAATACCTCAACCTAAGCCAAAATCAGCATGGGCAGAAGCCTCATGTTCTAAATATGCCCGCTTTATCCATACTAAAAACGACTCAACAATTATTTAAAAACATATAAAAAAAAATCATGACTAAACAATTGTACTAATCCAATATACTCAGTCAGTCAGTCTAACCCCCCTATTAACTAGATGGTAAATTGGTGCTTGTTCGTATTAGCTGAGTTCTAAATTAAAGCAACGGGAATCATTTCATAAACCACATTAACCTATGAAGTAGTATGGTTTTTGTTTTGTAGCTAGAAGCGTAGAACAACGAGAATCAAAAAAGCAGCATGACACTAAATTCTTTTCTTTCTTGAAAAAAAAAAGATTTAAATTTCTTTCGAGATTTTATTACCCTCCACCAACCCCAGAAAAAAGGCAAATCCAGCTACGTCTTCTATCATTTTCAAGCTATTCATCCAGCTAGAATGCTGAGTCTTCAATCAGATAAATAAGCCTAAAATAGTTTGTGTTTGAACGCATAATAATTCGTTTTTTGGCTTTTTCATTAATGAAAAAAGTGGACATTATAGAAAATCTTTTAAGACTCGTCGAAGTGGGCCAAGCATGAACAAAAGCTACCTTGACTACGTTTATGGGGAAGGGAAAGCCCTCAATCATAAGAGAAAAAATAAAATCTTTTTTGAATTCTTATGCATCAGAGCTATAAAACAAATAAGAACATGTGAGCCTTTTTTTTTCTCCTCCTCGTTTATTAATATTGTATACACACACAAACACATGTGCACGCAAACACATATATATACAATTCAAACCATCTTTAATGCATATTATAAGTTAAATGATAGTTAAACAACTACAGCTCATATTATCCGTCCCAAACACATATTTTATTAAATTATGAATTAAGGACATTATACCATGAAATTTACAAAAAAAAATTTCATGAAATTAGAGCCATCATTATTGATGCATTTGGTATTCATTAAGTTAGCTTAATGTTCATGTTCAACTCATGTTAAACACGTTTATTAATGACCTAAAAACAAACAATATATTGACTCATTAAAAATTCTAAGCTAGTGAACCGAGAGAAAGAATACATGTTCATGCCGACTTATTTACACCCTTCATCTCAATAAGTATATGATGAGTGTGCCGAAATTAGAATGCTGCTCCATGAAACAGTTAATATTTCCAGCGAAGTCACAGTGTATCCCTTGACACAAAGGAATGATATTAATGTTTGAAGTTATCTTATGTGAACTGGAGAGAGAGAGATATGTAATATAGCTAATCAAAGAGACTAGATTTAGGATACAAAAGCAGAACAAAAAGAGTAAAAAAAATGATTGCTTTATTAAAAACCTTCAAAGAATATAAAAGAAGGCTTTTTCTCTATGGTACAACGAATGTACGTTCAAGAGCTCAAACCTTCATTAATCAAGCCATGGCGTATAAACAACAAGGTTTGTTGAGCGGCCATGGCAAACGACACCAAAAAAGTCAACTTGATTCATGAATTGGCAGGCAAACAATTGTTGGATGGCTCTTAGGATGGAAAGAAACAAACCTCTCCATTTTTTTTCCATTTAAGTCATTGCCTTCAAGGTTGCAATAATGATACTTAATTATGCTTGATTATTATGTAACATTCTAGTTTCAACATATCATTAATGACGATGACATCGAGGGGTTACCAAGCCCTTGAGAAGATCAAGCCAAGAGAGGGCATGTCAAAAACTTATTGGATGGTTGAACCTAAGTCACAATTGCCAAGCAAATTCCAACTCAAAAGCTAAGTAGATGGCTTCTTAGATAAGATATGGTTTCTACATATCAGAGTAAACTTGTATGAAATGTTTTTATTGTCAAGAGGTGGGACAAGTGTCAATATCCCTTTGGCTCTTAAAGGTATGGTGATTTTGGGCATACATGATGGAAAGCAAACGGCCCAACATAGCCTTCCACCAGCAACTTGTTGCATTCATACTCTTGTTCGATAAAGTGGATTGAACAACCAATATAATTTATTTTTATCTATTAATTCTTTTTCTTATTTCTACAAGGAAATTTGTGAAAATCTGAGAATACTTGGTCCTTTTCATATTTATCTCTCATGTGGGCCGGCCACCACCTCCAAATCTTGGAGGATTTGATTGGGATATAAGGAAACCTTGATTGGTTCATTTCCTTCCTATTTTATGTTTTTTTATTTTAATTTAGAATTCTTTCCTTTCCTAATTTAGGTGAGATATGTTCAGTAAATTTATAAATAAGGAGGGATTGGTTTCCATATATACATGTGCCCTATTTATGAATAATGAATTAAGCAATTTTCCTCCCCAAGTAAATTTTACATGATATCAAAGTTTTAGGAAACAAACCCTAGATCCCTTTTTTTTCCAACCGTCGGAGCGTCTCCAGCAGCCATCTAGTGTCGGATCTTCCCTGCAGCCACCTGTCTTCCTGCAGCCCCTCTATTGAATTTCTCCATGCAGCTATCAAAGTTGAACTTCTTCCAACCAACCGTCAGAGTGTCTCCAGCAGCCATCTAGTGTCGGAATCTTCCCTGCAGCCACCTGTCTTCCTGCAGGCCCTCTATTGAATTTCTCCATGCAGCTATCAAAGTTGAACTTCTTCCAATACCCTTCCTGTAGGCCGCAATTCCCAGTAAGCTCATCAGATCTGTGTTCTAATTCTCGCCAAGACCTCTAAAGAACCAAGTAGTAAGCAAAGTCGTGGATTGTGCAGTTCCCAGACCTTTGTAGACCCTGTTTCATCTTCCTTTAGAGATGATTAGTGTCTTCCTGAAGTTCCTAGTGTGGGTTCCCGATTATTTCCCTGAAGGGTTGTAGAGTGTGGATCAGCAAATTCCTACTCCTACTTGCAATTCCCAGCGTGCATAGATATCTTCCTGCCTATAGTTCCCTGCTTGTTGTCGGCCTTCAAAAAAGATCACAGCAATGACTCCAACAGCCAAAACTGTGCAATAAGGATAGCACAGCAAGCAGCTTCCAGAATTCCCTCTTCTTCCCAAAATTCTAACCCTATAAGTGCATAAGGCTTATGACCAAGTACGGAATGAAGACGTTCATTTTGAGTTAGCTCTATACGCCCATAACTCTTTCCATGACTCAAAGGTCAAGAAGAATCGTCACATATGTGATTAGTACAAGATGATTAGGCATATCAAAGACAAATGTTGGAAATCAAATGGAAAACAGCCGGCTAGAAACCTGAGTAGGGAAGGATGGATCAAGATAGAAAAGCAAATGTTGCTACAACATTCGAAGGATCGAAGGAACCATTCACCCAAGAACAGCTTGAAGTACTGAAGAAACTCTTTAGAGGTAACTCAGAGCAGCACATCAACCTTGTGACACACTAAGATAATATATCATCCTCCCATCTTATCAGTAATGAAAAAAGATTCAGAACTTGAATCATAAATTCAGGAGCTTCTAATCATATGACCGGAAACAAAAATGCTCTGGTCAACTATTAAGAGATTTTTGCATCTATATTGGTAAGACTTGCAGCAGATCACATTCAAATATAATTGGAAAAGGAGATGTGGAGCTCTCTCAGGATATTACTCTTTCATCTATCTTATATGTTCCATAATTGGACTGCAATTTGATTTCAATTAGTAAGCCTAATCATGAGATAAAAATTACAACTAAATTTCTTGCAAACTCTTGTGAATTTCAGGTGGTGGAATGTATTAAGACTTATACCTACTAAAAAAAATCTCTCTCTAAACACACAACTGATCCCGCTATCATATGTCCCTAAAATTGATGAGCCTTTGAGTCTATGTCTATCGAAAAATAGGTCATACTATGAAATTGTCATTTGGATCATCCTAACTTCAATTATGTTGCTAAGTTGCATTTACATCTGCTTCTCAATTAAAAAATTTAGTTTTTATTAATGTGAGACTTAGAGTCCGTTTGGGGCAGCTTATAAGTGCGGGCGGCATTTTCAAAACGCCGCCGTACTGTTTGGTTCGCGCGTTTCACTAGCTTATCCGAAATTACGTTTGGGTTTTTACACTAAACACAGGCCACGGGTCGACTCTGCGATCGGCCCGCAAGCCGCGTTTTAGGATAAGCAGCTTATCCTGAAACACATAAACTACCCCAAACGGACCCTTAATAACTTGTCAAACACACTGTAAATAGTTATCTTTTTACTAAGTAAAAACCCTCGCATCCTTTTTTCATTATTCACAGTGATATTTTGGGACCTTCAAAGGTGAAAACCCTAAACGAGGCTAGATGTTTTGTCTCACTTATTGACGATCACACTAGAAATACTTGGGTATTCTAAATTAAAAAAAAATAAATCAACCTAAATCTTCCAAATATTCTATGACATGATTAGAACTCAATTCAAATGAAAAACTCAAATCTTCAAAACTAACAATGCAAAGAGATTTTAACTCCATTCTTGCATCTTATCTTTCAAAAAATAAAATCATTCATGTGAGTTCATATATTGATACCGCACGACAAAATGGAATAACAGAGAAAAAAAACAAGCATTTATTTGAAGTATTATGCTCAATAATGATTTCTCATTAAGTTTCAAAATATTTTTAAGAACAAGCAGGTTTTACTGCATTATATCTTATTAATTGAATGTCTGGCAGGATACTCAACTTCAAAATATTATTTCATACTTTGATGGATACCTATCCACACATCAGATTTTTTCTCTCCTAGTATACCAATTAATATCTCCTTTTTTTCACATTCATTCCCCAACCCGAACCAAACTTGACCATAAATCTATTAAGTGTATTTTATTTGGGTATGTCTCCAACAAAAAAACCGTTACTGTCCTATTACCAGAAAATACAACAACTCCATGGATGTCAAATTTTTTAAAAATCAATCATTCTATCTCAAATCTAATTTCCATGGATGTCAAAATTTTTAAAAATCAATCATTCTATCTCAAATCTAATTTGCAGGAGGAGAGTGTCAATGAAGATCAATTTTGAGATGCACTTGATGTCACCTACACAACATACTCGCATACTCTTCTTTCACATGACTCTCCTATTCTTGTTGAGAATATCCAACCAACCCAACCTGAAGTCCAAATAAAAAAAAAATTCATGTGTACACTGGGAGGAAGAAAAAACTCGAGCAAGTGGAATATAACTTACAAAGACTGAACCAAAACCCGAGTTCATATTTTCGTGAAATTTCGAGTAAGGAGTCCAGTACTCATGAGTTATCCCCTTCCTCTTATGGGCTCATGAAAAGGAAAGTTGTAAGAGATACCAATTCAGAAGTGTGTAGCTTATCGAAAACAACTTTAAACCTATAGTGTTCATATCTAACCTTGTAATGTGCATATTTCTACTCATGAAGCTCCTGAAAGTCCAGAATGGAGAAGAGCAGAAGAAGAGATTCGAGCACTAAGTCATAATGGCACATAGACTCTTAATAAATTTCTTAAAGATAAGAAGCCAGTAGGATGCACATGGGAGTTCAGCATTAAATACAAAGTTGACGGGAGTGTTGAAAAATTCAAAGTTAGATTTATTTCTAAAAGTTTCACACAAGCCTATGGAATTGACTATCAGAAGACATTTGTGTCAGTTATCAAACTGAATGCTATCAAAGTTGTTCTTTCAAAAGTAGTTAATAAGGTATATGAACCGCATCAACTTAACAACGAAAATATTTTCCTAAATGGAGATCTAGAAGCAGATGTGTACATGGAGATACTACCAAGATTTGAGAATAATTTCAATAAGGACCTTGTATGCAAACTCAAAAAGTCTCTCTATGTGCTTAAACAATCACCAAGGGTGTGGTTTGAAAGGTTTCTTAAAACTATGAAATCCAATTGATATTCTCAAATTCAAGTTGATCACATATTATTAATAAAAGACACTCAAGGAGATATGATCGTTGCACTGATCATAAATATAGATGAAATGATTTTCGTGGGTTATGATGATAGAAAAATTCTTAAAATCAAAGAAGTGTTGGTCGTTGAGTTTGAAATCAAGTACCTAAAAAACATGAGATATTTTCTAGATATGGAGGTAGCAAGGTCGAATAAATGGATTGTGATATCATAGGACATACATCCTAGATCTACTAAAAGAAACGAAGATGATTGAATGCAAACGTGCTAATACTTTAATAGAACCAAACAAGAAGTTTAACAGGGGGAGAAGAAATTATATTTGTGAATAAGGAAAAATACTAAAGATGGGATATTGCATACTCTGTCAGTATTGTGAGTCAGCATAAGAATTGCCCAAATGAAGAGGATGGTTTACATGATTTTGAGGTTTCTCAAGAAGCCTCCAGGTTATGAATTAATTTTTGTGAAAACCAATAACAGAGAAATAAAACCCTACACTGAAGTTAGTTGGGCGAGAGAACTCACTTACAGAAGATCTTCCACAGGTTATTACTCATATATATGGGGAAATATGGTTATATGGAGAAGTAGGAAACAAGTTGTTTCAAAAAATAGTGCATAATCAAGGCACTTGTCTTAGGGATCTTGAAGGGATCAAAATTCATAAATTATTACGATAACTAGAATGTTCTTTTGATAAGTATATACAGATTTTTTTTTTAGAGTCAAGTATCAATCAATATTACCAAGAATCTTATGCATCAAGACAGGATCAAGCATATTGAAATTGATAGACACTCCATCTCTGAAAAGTTCAATGGAGGAGTTATATGGCTAGAAGCTACATCTCGACACGCCAACAAGTTACAAATGTCTTCACCAAAGCTCTGCCTCTCAACACCTCAAAATTCAATAATAAGCTCAGTCTCTACAATATCTACAACCCAGATTGAGGGGAAGTGGAAATCTAAGAAGATTTGGTCCTTTCCATATTTACCTCTCTCATGTGAGCCGGCCACGACCTCTAGATCTTGGAGGATTTGATTGTGATATCTTAGAAAACTTTTATTTGGTTTATTCCATTCCTATTTTATAATTTTCTATTTTTATTCAGAAATATTTCCTTTCTTAATTTAGGTGAGATGTGTTTAGTAAGTTTGTAAATAAGGAGGGATTGGTTTTCTTATAAATAAATGTACCTTATTTGTGAATAATAAATTAAGCAATTTTCCTCCCCAAGTAAATTCGACAAAAAACTTAGTGCCATGGAGGTTAGCAATGTAGACGATATGTTTGCAAGGCAAAAAGCAGTACAATAAGTCTAGAATCCAATGGTTTCCATGAGGAACTCTTGGCATGGATCTTATGTGCATGCAGTTATACATTCTATGATTTAAAATTGAAAAATAACTCTTTTTGGTACACTCACTTTGAATCTAAAGCACTCAAGGACTAGCTGTGTGTAAAGGAAACATTTTTACCACCTCATTCCATTTAAATTAAGTTATAAATAGTCAATTTGAGCATAGTACTACCTTGCTCATGATTGTTCATTTATTTTATTGTCAAATTTGAGCCAAGTTTGAACAAAACTCGCATGTCAAAATCTTATTAAAGCTTGTTCATTAATTTTCTTATCATGTTTGAGCTATAATCAACTATAGTCAATGTTAACTTATGTGTAGGGTGTTTATGATTCAAACAAATGTTTCAGGTTTTTAATTCTTCCGTCCACCTAGTTGCTCAATATTTTTATCATATTTATATTCTCTAGTATATAAAAAACTTGTGAAGTCCATATGATGTAACAATATTAATATACTAATATAATAATATAGAATAAGTTATTATCAAATAATTAAATAATGATTAAATGAGTGTGCTATTGAACTATCATCAAGTAAATTCATGAACAACAGACAAGTATGTTAACGAATCTAAATGAAGAAGCATGTCAATGTTCAAGCTTGTTTATTTAAATGTAAAACTTTAAAAATTCAATTCCAACTCACTAGACTATCAAAATAAATGAATACAATTTAATCTTATATGAACAGGTATTGAGTTATTCGTTCAGTGTACTAGTGCGCTTATAGCACTAACTAAAATGTTGCAGTCAAGCTCTATTTAAGATGGTTAAACGATAAAAAATTTAAGGCATGTGGACCCCATAAGAAAACCGCTAAACAACATCATGACTAAAAATAAAACATAATTTCATATTATGCACTCTCAGATTGCAAATGAAACATATATTTGCAAAGAAACCTTCCTAAAGTATTAGGCAAAGAAAAAGAGCAATATGAAACATATATTTGCAAATTATCAAGTTTAAATTACATGTTATTCTACAAAACCTTCCTAAAGTAAAATTCATAACTCATGCTAGTAAAACTCACCCAAATGTAACGCTTGCACTGGCTATTTTTGTTTGATGACTACCAGAAACAAGATTATAGTGCATAAGATCTGTCACAAAATATCCAGCAGTCGAGCTACCATCACCGTATAATACGGTGTATTGGCATGGTGCATCATGAATACAACCAGGGATCTCACCACCATATGTTGATGAGCAGAAGCTCTCATCACAAGACATTAGGCTTCCACTCGAAGAACTCTTGAGATCATAAAGAGAAAGTGTTATCTACAAAAGAAACCAAAACCAAGCTCTTCATATAATTAGGATGCTTTGGGGGAAGCCAATCACCCGCCTCAGTAGATAAGCGAATCGTAAAACACATAAAATTTCAAGCAATGCATTACCCCAATATCACTCTTCTTAGGGCAATGCTTACAAGTGATGCAATTCAACCAAAGGATGTCACTTCCCGTGTCCACCTGCACGTGGTAAGGCTTTGAAGGTGTTCCAATATCAATTTCAGCATAGTAAAGCCTATAAAAACATAAAAAAAAACCTTGATAAAACCCGAATAAATATTACACAATTTGAAAAGAAAAATTGACAGTAACTTTAAACCAAATTTATCAAAGTTAAATTAACGATTATATGTATCTGTGTGTATTATATTCTAAATTATTTTGCATAAACTAAACATAAATATTTCTTATATATTAGTATATAATCAAAAAATAAACTTATATATATCTGTTACATATTTTGGTCTACAAAGAATTAATAAAAATTCATTTCAGTAGCAATCCATAATAAAATGCATATTCATGTACACTCCAGCAGACCTTCTTTTATGTGAGTTCAGCTCAACTAGTAAGTTTTGCAATAATTGATCAGATACGTGGTGGAAGATTTTATTCAATAAAAAGCTTACGATTATGGGTAAGTGTCAATGACTTTGTTTTCTCAAGCCAGCATATATTTCATATGTCCAATGTAAGAATAAATGCAAAATCCTCAACACATCAACATCAACAAGTATCAAGAACCAATAGCTTACTATGGATATGTTGGAAATTAATTGGGTTGGGTTGAACAAAAACCAATGGCTTGACTCATTAAAGATCTAATGGTTGGCCCTAATATGCAAACCTTAAAACGGTTAACTATAAGAAGTTGTGAACTAGCTCAAAAGCTTTTATTATTATTTAAGAGTTTCAATGTAACCCTCTTCAATAACATGAAGCAATTCAATTTTAAATTAAAGAAATTTTGCGGGTAGTTTGAGCCCATAAATCTTATAAACATAAGCAACTCTATCCTAAAAAATCACATATTCATATGTGATAAATAAATTATATACATGAATATTTTTAAGCAATCTTAAATTATATTTTGTTGTAGGCATTACAAATTCGTAATGCTTTAAAATGGTTTTTAACTCAAAACTCTAGCTTCTTGTTTAACTCATATTTTCAAACCGATTAAGATCTGACAAAAACAATTGAATGTGCTCATATATCACGATTTATTCGAGAAGAACATTATACTAAAAGTTGGCCTAAATGAGTGTACGAAATTGGAAAGCTCACCCGGTCTCCGTGGGAACGCCAATGCCTCCAAGGGGAATGTCGACTGCGCCGGCCGCGACGCTAGAAAGGATTCTACCATGGCGGCGAACGTCATGAGCGCGGAGGTCGGCGATATGCGACTGCTCGGAGTATTTGCGCTGAACCCTAAACACACCATTGCCGCTCCCCAAACCAAAGAATGAGATGAAACAAAGTAGTAGAAAAAAGAGATGCTGTGTCCGGTGATGAACCCTCCGGCGATCCATCAATTAATGCGGGGAATAAATGATGCGAGACGGCGAGATGAATTATCGTTCCCACGTCTCCTTCTCCAAGAAGGGAGGGCTGGAGGAGGAGAAGGAGACGGAAGGAACAGCGGACAGCTAAGAGCGTGGGAATAAGAAAAGAGGAGGGAACCGAAAGGAGAGCAATGCTGTTTCGATGGAGCCGCACGGATTGTTCGATTGGTTTATTTTGGCCGGCTGGCAAAGTTTAGATGGAATGCAGGTATTTATAGTAGGAAGATTGGAGAAGTTGATATACTGAACATACACTGCTCTCCAACGATTTTGGTAACTATTATATATCAACTTCAGTCTGCTTGGACGATATAAGTGAATAAATTTGAATCTTTTTTTTTTTTTGAAATTGATTTTATGATCTGAAGCATATTTATAATCTAAATGAGTCGATCTTGAATCCTAATTCAGCCAGATGTAAATTAAACATTTGAAATAAGTTACTCATACACTACAATAAATCCCCATATTTGGCACGAATGTCGAGACATGGCACAGATCTCGGGCCAAAATTATTTGAGCAATAAATATTTAAACTTTCATAAAAATTTATCAGAAAGTTCAAAATTAGCAAACTTGCAATCAGATTGTTCAACTCGATAAGACAAACCTAATAATGTCAAAATTGGTTCAATCCAAGTTAAGCCTCGATTAAGACATTAGATAGGTTTTAGAAACTTTCTAGAAACATTTAGAAGTTCATATGAATGTTGAAACTTATGAGCTTATAGCCAAAATTGGTTCAATCCAAGTTAGGCCTCGATTAAAACATTAAATAGCTTTTAGAAACTTTCTAGAAACATTTATAAGTTCATATGAATGTTGAAACTTATGAGCTTATAGTTGAATCGAGTGTTTCGACAAAACAGATTAAACGAGGTCTAGATAGCTCAAATTTAAAATTTTAAGGCACTAAAATGTCTATTAAACATTGTTTGATCAAATGAACCCTCTGAGCCATGTGATTAAGTGGTTCATATTTATGCATTAATTACACCCAAAACTCTATAAATAAATTTTTGCCCCTCTCATAAAAGAGATGAGAACTTAAGACTTGAGGAATAACTTAAAACTTTAAGAAGGAACTGAAGTCTAGCATCACTCTTGCCGTCGCTGACCACCGTCGACCTCTATCTACCACCATCAACTATCACTCAGCATTCGTTATCAATCATCATCGACCATTGTCTATTCATTGAAACAAGGTTATGCACGCATGGCCTTTATAATTCAGATGACTTTGTAACACTTTTTTGTTTATGAAACAAAAGGTCTTTGTAATCATCAACTTATAATGGGTTTTTATAGCTATGCCTGACTCCATTGTTTTTTTTATTTTTTTAAATTTTTTGCATAAAAACTTCTAGCGTCACTACTAATTTTCTTCTCTCTTATAATTGTGTGCTTAGCCTTCGTACCAAGCTAAGACAATAATATATCACTCTACTGTCATGAATTTTCTGGCACGCATTAGTTTTGTATCGTTTATGGGAAAATAGCATTCACCTCGCTCATTTTTTTGCAGTACTTACTACATGGCCACCAGGTGCAACACTTGCAACAAGGAGCATCCCACTCCAACACCCACCATTTCAGAAGGCAGTCACAAAGCCAAGGGTGTTAAACCTTTGCATCCTTCTACTCTGGAAGGCGTTACTCCGGCAGCGAAGTGCCTCGAGTTCTTCTCTGGAAGATTGAGTGCGCAAAATTAAGGAGCCCCAATACGAGATCCTTCTGCTCCTACAACAAATGCTACCCACTGATCGCTTCTTGTGCTGATAATATAATTTAATGTGTTCATAGCGACTACTCCTAGTGATGTTGGTATTACTAATTTTAAAATATATTTTCTAATTATTGATTTAAGAAATTCACTAGGATAAAAACACAAGTGCACATATCGTTCAAGTGATATAGAACTTTCTTTAGTCCCAATTATTAATCTCACGGGGAAGGAAAAACTCTTTTTATAGACTAAATAAAACTCTACTTAAACGACAGGTAACTTATCTAGAATTAAATATAGGAATTAATATCAAATTTATATGTGCAAAAAATCTACTTATATCTACTAATTCTATTTCTAAACTTAAAGAAAATGCTAAGTGTTTATAAACTAGTTTTATGTAGAAATGTTAAAATTATATGAAAGTCCTTCATCTTGCAACGATATCATAATCAGTGTAGGAATCAATTTTTTTATAAATTTAAATGTAGTTTTATGACAAATAGGAGCATACATATTTTTTACTCTCTTCCGAGTGCATAAAAAACATTAGCTGACCTAGAGTTAAGTTTTTGAATCCTTAGTTATGTTGGGTACATTCTAACATGCACCTAGAGTACCCATATAAGCCCTCAATTTGGCTAACCTAGCTTTAAGATCTAAACCCTGGATCTACTTGGTTAAGGTTATAGTCTCTCACCCTAGAATGATTAATTTACACCTGTCAAAACTTATCTCTCTATCTATTTGCACTCACCCCAATATTACTTTTTCTTCATTCTAAAACATAGTGTAGTGATTACTAATTGAGGAAAAACATAACTCTTCCAGGTCATTCACAATATGTTTTAACATATAAATCGACAAAATTATGTAAGTATATTAAGCATGAAGTAATATATCATCACAATATTGAAATAAAAGCAATTCTAAATAATTCTAATCTTACACATGATTATTTCTCATCATTAGAAGAAAGATAAAAAAAACTAATCAGATTTCATGGTGAAAATATAACAACACATGGATTGATATTTAAAATTTGATTAATATTTAACATCAGATTTACACGATAAAATTTAACAAAAACTCAAGTAAAAATACAAATCACTTATCTCAAACTCCTCCACAAGCAAATATTTTGAAGTTCCTTTCAATAATTCTCAAACTCTCCTTACAATTTCACTAAATTTTTACTTTGAAATGTAGAAAATGAAAGAAATCTCACAATTTTCCTCTTCTCCTGCAGAAATCTCCACCCCTGACATCCTCTGCTTCCTCCTCACTCCAATAGACACACCCCTTTGAAATCCGTCCAAAAAGCTTTTAAAAAATGTCAAGTCAATTTTTGGTGCCTAGGCGCCCAATCGTGGCGCCTATGCCTCAACACCAGCCTTCTAAAAGCATTAAATAACTGCCCAGCGCCTAAGTGCTAAGTCAAAATTTTATTCTTTATTCCATTTGAATCTAAATTGCTTCATTTTTCACTTTTTTTGCTCCAATTAGTTAATCTATTGTACCTGTAATCAATAATTTAAAAAAAAAAATTCTTTAAAGTATAATATAACTAAAAATAAGCATTAAATGTATATAAAAAGGTAAAACATTTTCAAGCATGTCAAAATCCTCCAAACTTCACTGTTACTTATCCTTAAGTAACTCTATTATTTTATAAACCATATGCTTTAGCTTATGGCAGTAGGTGTCATTAAACATTCCTATAGGTTTACTTCATAAATATTTTTACTTAATGAAAAAGAGTTATAACTGTGTATGTTTGTCTGTATTGGTATGCATGTCAGTGAAACCCTTTTAGATATTGGATAGTCAGACTGACGGACCCACAAAGTAAGAACTCTATACAAAATTATCGAGTTTATTTGGGTTGGTATTTATCTTATTGGTTTCATGTTAGCTTATAAAATTGATTATATAAATTTAAATTAATTGAAACTGAATAGTCAATAAATTTAATTTATATACTTGTAAGACTTGATCATATTTGAAATAATTGTATGTTTCATTAAATTATTTGAACGCATTCATAATAATGTTTACAACAATCTTGTTTATATGCACATAATAACTTGTCACTCTTTGTTTATCATACCACATGCTCCAATTCCTTATGCTTTTAATAATTTGTGGTTATTTATTGAGTTTGATCTATCAAACTCACTCGTTGATGCTTTTGTACAGTATATTATATTCAACCACTTCTAGAACCGACCCCTCAAGATTTTAATCTCCAATTCAAGACTTTCATTTCGGTATTTTCAGTTTGCATTAGTTGTGTTTTTTTCCTTTAGGTTTTGGGTAGTTCTTTTCTCAAATCATTTCAATTTATCTTTGGTCAGTTTCACTTATTTTTTTGGTTGTTCTAATTTAAATCAAATTTATGGAATAAACTTTATCTTCCATTGTTTTGTTATGTTTTACATATATTTTTTTATTTAGAATACAAAATATGTTCACTTCATTTCATTGCATACTGTGTTATCAGGGTGTAACGCCTTTCGAACCTGGGATGTGACAGTTCGAACCATCCACAAATATGATAAAATTTTAATATGTTATGAACATTATTTAAATATGCCAAGAGTATGATTTCAATAAGCTCTATTATAATTTTGAGAAGATTTTAAAATAGTTCAAAAATATTTTGAAAATTTATAGATTATACTTTTTGTTTGCTCATTTAAATCTACTTGAAAGTTTAATTAAATGACATGATTTAAGAAGCAATATAGAAAAATTAAAAAAATAATATTGCCTTATAGGATTATAGATGAATAAAAAATAATGAACTTTATCACGTCTCATGAGGGACAGGGATAGACGACGAAATGCAAACTCACGGAAAAGGTGGGATGTAAGACTTGAAAATAAGAATATTTAAAATATTTAAGCAACTTTTTAAAATATAAGTATGAGTAAAAGAAAAAAAATGCAAACTCACAGAAAAAGTGGGATGTAAAACTTGAAAATAAGAATATTTAAAATATTTAAGCAAATTTTTAAAATATAAGTATGAGCAAAAGAAAAAAAAAATCTTTAATGAGGTTTTTCTTGGTGAAAATGAGGGTTACACTCAGTTTTATTTAAAATAAAGAGAACGAAAAAGAGCTTACAACTTCAACTCCAATAGAAATCCAATATAAAACAACACCACACCTATACATCCAAAACATATAAAAAACATACAACCTCCAAACACAACACAAAAATGAAGCGATTAACAAAAAAATGATGGAAGCAGTCTCCATACATAAATTAATAAAAGCAACGATGAAACACCAAAAACTTCAACAAGCTGTCAACTATCTAAATATAAACCACAATGAAGCTTTCAATATAAACAAAATATGGACAATCAAAAGAGCAATCCCAAAAGAATCGACAAGAAGCGGTCATCAATCTCCAAGCACAACAAAAACATCACAAAGCTAAAAAATAAGCAATCACCACACAGATTAATCAACGAGCAGCAATCATCCACTCATCTCATTAACAAAAAAAAAAAAAAAAAAAAAAAAAAAAACAAAAAATTATAATAGAATCAATCATCACATTAAGAAAAACAAGCTCGATAGAACCAAAGAGTAGAAGCCAAAAACTACCAAGCACAACTAAACAACACATCCTCACACAGGAACATAACGCCGAAAAATTTTATTACATAACAAATATTTAAAATATTATTATTTATAAAATTAAATGTAATATTTTGAATTGTGAAATCTATGCATTCATGGATGTCAGGATCAAACTATTAGGAATTTGATAAAAATAAATAAAATATGACTTAAAATTTTATCATAAAATATAAAGTTTTGAATAATAATTTAAAATAATGCATGAAGCAAAATGCTAAATTTTGTTAGTATCATATATCGATTAATAATAGAAGTAAAATGCTTGGTCACGGAATGGCAAGTCGCTGTGCCTGGACTGAAATCTTATCACCCCTCGATAGTCGATCCCCATCCGTGAGCTCGGTGCCATGGCGGTCGCCACCGTTTCCGCCGCCACTGCCAGTTTCTCATCTTCTCACGTTGATCCATTACCGCAAGGAAGAATGATTGTTGGCTCATCCAACAGCACAGCCCTCTTGAACTCGCTCCTACCTAGCGCGAAGTTTCTGTTATCGTCTTCTAATCTCATCGGGGTTACCATCAGAAGAAAATTGGTTTGGAGATGCGAGGCATCCAGAAGCTACAATCACATACCTAAGCAATTCCAGGAAGAGAATCTCAAAGACGGATGTGAGTTGATTTTTCTTTTTATTTCATTTCTCTTGAATACAGCGTTCAAAATCGTTGTCTTTAGGGGCTTTTTGGTAGCAGGATTTGAGCAGGTTTTAACCAAAAGTCTGCCGAACAGAAAAAATAACAAGTTTAATTACATGATCAAATTTCGCATTGCGCCCCTTTTAAGTTAACCAGGGGAGAGAAAATAAGGAAACCGAAGGAGAGGAAGTGGGGAGTCGGACAGCCATAGGAGGGAGAGGAATCAAACAGTCTGGAAGATGAAGAGATGATGTGAGAAGGCTTGGGAACACGAAAGGATTTTTTTGGTGTATAAATTGATGTGTAGGAGGGGGTGGCAGAGGTGAGAAACGACTTGCTCACCATTGAGGGAAGCATAGCATTTGATGGCTGGGACAATTGCGGCAAGGGCAAAGAGAAGGGAGCGTAGCAGAGGCGGTGCCGACAAGAGAAAGATGTGTGCGTTCGTGTGTCTGTGTGCAAGTGTTTGTGTATTGTGAGTGGTAAATTATTTTAATAGAAGATTTTATTGAATTAAATTCTAGGTATATAACTTGAGTTTTGGAGGGGAATAGTTGAAGGTGAAGTGGGCGAGCTAAAGGACACAAACTTTGCTAAGGAAAAGTTCAGGTTTAAATTATAATTTACTTAAGGAATTTAACTAAGATTTCATAAAATTAAATAAGGTAAATTTAATAGCTTATTAAAATTATAACTAATTAAAATTTTGTAATATGAATACTTTTATTTAGACTTCTAATTTTAGAAGTGTCAACGTTAAGACAAATAAAAAAATAAATTAATCAATATCGAGGTAAATCCTCATACTTTTAATATACGACAATATTTTGGTTTTTCTCCAATATTTTGAATTAGTATTAATAATACTTGTACAAGTTTTATTTTGATTTATTTGTACTTTTCTTTATTAATCACATTGCTATAAATGTATATAACTATTTACTATCATGCACTGTTGCAATAATATATTAAATTCAATGCGATGAACACATTAATGATATTTTTGTTGATTGTTTATATGTGGATGACTGACTATGATGAATTCATCATTTTTATGGTACAAGCGAATGAACACTAATGTACGCATACGCTTAAATGAAATAAAAGATATTGATATTAAAATACCTTAAGTTGTACAATTTTTAGACGGTGCACCTGTGACAGTTGCACAAATATAAATGATGTACATATGTTATTGATCTATTAAGATTGATTGAATAATAACAATTGTTTATATTAATTTATTGAAAGCTTAACTGACAAACATATTGTTTTATTTTATCTTGTATTACTTTGGGTTAAGGAGTATGAGTATTCATCAGCTTTATTTAAACTTATTGTTGTTTTAAATTAATATTTCATATATGATTAAGTGATTAAAAGATGAGCGATAAAATAGAAAATGTTTATAGAAGACATAAACAACTAATAATATGTTGTTTTTAATTTAATTTGATTAGTGACTATTTTATTTGTTAATAATTAATTATAAAAAATAAATATGAAAAAAATTAATTCTCATCGTCTGACCTTTTGTACCTTTTTTGGTAATTCCAAGTTCCAGGTTGGGTCGTGACAGGAACTCAGAGGTGTTACGTCTGCATCCCATTTTATGGGGAACCTCAAACTTTTTATGCTTAAACCTCTGTGTTTTTCATGGTTTTTATGAGCTATATTTTTGATGTAATCTTTGTTGGGTTGTGAAAACTTCAACATCTTGAGGTACTGGTGTTTTGAAATGTAAAGAAAGAGAAGAAAAACCCATTTAGTTCAGGCATGTCATTCGTGAATTTTGTAATACATCTTAGCATGCATTATGGAAATCGAAGCATAACAAGAGCTTCATTGTTAAGGATATTCTGCTGAAATTTTTCAGTTTCATGTAACCATATTAGAAATACTGTGAGCTTTAGGTCCTCTTTTGCTAATAATTGTCCTACAATTTTAAGGAACTTTTCAAAGTGGTTTGTTGATCAAGCCAGATACTTCTTTCTTTAATAATAAATAAAATTACAATATTTTCACTTCAAATGTTTTATGGAACAAAAATCAGAGATATTTGTTTTTTCTATCATCATCCTCTAGGTCAGAGAAGACAGGAACGTAGAGTGCATTATGATTGAGAGCTATGAAGCACGAACATAGAGACACAAATACGGCACGACATAATATGTGAACACAAAACAATTGAAAAAAATATGATGCGACATGTCATGTACATGTTTTTATATTTAATTAATTATTTATATAAAAATATATATTTTCATTATTCCTTTTTAAAGACATCACAAAATAAATTTTGTAAGAATAAAATTTAACTTCATAAATTCAACATATACTATAAGGTCTCATGCTTAGACAAATTAATTTTCAAAATTAAATATATAATATGTTTCCAAAGAATTCATCCTACTCATCAACTAAAATTAAAAAAAATCTATGATTAAAAAGAGGGAACTACTAATGCTTAACATCGACGAATATTGGATGCACTTTCGATACTCGATTTTAATAATAGAAGTGGGAGCTTCAACATGATGGGGGAGGAGGCAGTTTAAACTATGAGGTATAGTTAGAGTTATATGTATATTTATAATTTTTCGTTTTCTGTGTCCCATATGTCTTGAAATCCTATTTAGCTCATGTCCGATTGGCTGTTGAGATGTGTCTAGAACGCTTTCGAGCCAAAAAAAAAATTTAGACATATATTTTGTAGTGTCAGAGAAGTGTCTGGGTTTGTCAAACAAGTGTTTCATTATGTCGGATATATGTTAGTCTCCGACATGGGCACGACACATTTTTAGACGTTTCGGTGCTACATAAATTGAGTTTCTAATGCATATATAACATGTGATGATATTTGAATAAGGAAAACATTTTGCAGATTAGTTTAATGTATTTTGGCCTGCATTTTTAATATCTACAGTAGCTTCATCACAAATTATCAGGAGTTGGTTTTCTTACTCATTCTTTACTATTAACTATTTACAATTTGTGTTGTTTGCTCTATTTCAAACAATTATTTTTTTGTGAAACTTCTATTCGTGATATATTTAACATATTCTTTCTTCCTTTACCATTATTTAAATCTTAATATGTCAACATGCTTTTCCAATACATTTTAATGCAAGTTTCATTTAATTATGTCCAAATACATGTATTTCTATGAGAAGTTTTAGTTTTAGGTTAATTGGGACTAATTTCAAACCAAACCAATTGGATTTATGTACCCCGAACTCAAGTTGTTTTAATTTGGGCTAAAACTCGATCTTGAGTCTGGCATATGATCACCTCTCATAGGATGTGTTTTAATGATGACCACAATTAATGTAGGATTTGAATTGTTGTCATAATGGTGAAAGCAAATATGTCAATGATGAATATGCTACGTGAAAATGTGGTCTAGATTAGGCGTGTGTGGCACTCTAAAGGCACATATAATAATGTTGAAGGAGCCGCATTGACAATTAGATTTGATTATTGGAGAATGCGATTAGCTGAAGGCAAGTGGGTGATGCACGTAAGCATGACTAATGATGGTGGAGGTGATGGGGACTACTACAACAGAGAGAGGGAGAAAGGGATGCGAGAGGTAGCCATCATATAAAAGTGCAATGTTAGAATTGCTTTGTAATGTTTTGTGTCGAACTAGGGCACCTAACATCAAGAATTAAGTCTAATTTTTCAGAACTTGTATTGTCATGATTGAAATTTGAAACATAACTTATTAATGACTCAACCCTGTGTATTGATTAATTTTTGAAGTATTTTTTACTTATATTGTTTTATATTTTCCCATTTGCAATATTAGCCAAAATTTTCTAAATATACTTTTTAAAATATTTTCTTCAATGTACTTTTAGTCTTTATGATGGGCCACACCATTGACATGTTATAAAATTTTATCACAAGTCGAGAGTGTGATCCAATCTCCACTCAATTTGATCCATTGATATGAATGTTGCTAATGGGAAATGGGGGTGGGCGCCCTATCCTATTATCTATACACAAATGTTTAAGTATTGATAATAGGTGCATTATTTTAAAATATAATACCAAAGTTTTTTTTACTCTTAGTCCTTGACTTTTTGATCCAAATGATTTAAAGGTTCCATCTATTTTTTCGGCCTCACGTTAACTAAAATCATGATGAACTGTAGTACTTTGCTTACTCATGCTAGGAGCCATTATAGAAGCACCTCTAATAAAAATTGCAATAATCATGAAGATGGAGTGAGGATGAAATTCAAATACACACATTTTCATAGCATAATCAACTACTATTTAAGGTCCATGCCAAGCTTGACTTGTCGAACCATGATAGGACAATTAACACCAATAAGTTTGTGATTAAATTGAGCATCTCGAGGCCTAGGTCTCTTTTTGTAGGTACTACCATTCCCTAAGGTATTTTTTATGCAAATTAAGCTTTCTAGCTGTGCCATAGGATGTCAATTTGGGTTAGTGGGCTGGATTTGGCTTCAACCCCAAAATGACTCGATTTGAATCAGGTCAACTCGAACTCGACCCGAATAATAAACGGATTGAATTCTTTGATCTAAACCCGACTCGAAAAATATTCGGGTCAACCCTAATCCGAATTTTTTTTAGTTGAGTTCGAGTCATGTTGGCGCATCGGGTCAATTTTTGAGTCATAGGGATGTTATGTCGGGTCAATGGGTTGGGCTCGGATTTGACCCAAAAATGATCCATCCCGAATCATGTCAACCTGAACTCAACCCGAATAATAAATGGGTCGAATTCTCTGACCTGAACCCGACTCGAAAAATATTTGGGTCAACCATAATCTGAATTTTTTGAGTCATGTTGGCGTGTTGGGTTACTTTTTGACACCCTATCATGCCCTAAGTGGTAGATTGTAAAAGCAAGTAGATGCATCCTAATGTGGATGACTTGGAGCCAATTTATGTAATCACTGTGAAAAAAGAAGAAAAAGAAAATTTAAACTGGTTTTT